ACTTAATGAGCAGCTCCTGCTTTGTCCTGTTTTACCCATGTTTAGGCACGCTCTTATAATCAAAGGCATGAGTTGTAAACAACAGGCGCAGCACACGTATGCCCGATTGTTTAAATATTCTGTGGATTATTGAGAAGAAACCTCGAAAAATAATCCTAGAGCCCAAAACATGGGGTTAAGAGTTTACCTCCAGGTTTACTGATAACATCACAATCACTTCATGGTGCGGACTATTGGAAAGGCTTGGATTCAAATAGCTATTTTCAAAACAAGCTAAAAAATATAGAAAAGCACAGATTATGATCATCTAAAGACACAACGCTCGGTCAGTCAGCACAAAAAAGTTTCCCATTTGGGAATTAATCTAAACTGTCAGAGAGAACCACACGCATAATCAATCTGACTGAAAGACCACAGGAACAACAGATCTAGAATTTAGTTTAATCCTCCTAAACCCTAGTGCATCAGTGTTGTTGAGGGAACTGGGCAAGGGTGGATGTGGATATCCCTGACACATTTTGGCAGTCAGCCCTCAGGCATGTGTGGGTCTGATTAGCTCACAATGACATTAAACAGCCCTGCAACCCAGAGATAGGCGCCGTGTTTCGTCTATTCTCAGGCCTTTTTCCCGTTTTGGTCCCAACAATCCCACAACAGCAAGACGCTTCCTGATTTCTGAGAAAATCACTGAATCACTGTTCCAAACTGCCTGTTCTGGAGGAAAAAAAGGGCTCTGGAAAAACAGAAGCTAATTATGTGTTGAGGTCTGAACCTGTTTACCGTCACACAAGGAAAACTCCTCACCTGACCATCAAACCAATTAAATCTGCAGTGTTACCTCTGCTTTACACATGTCTAACATAGGGTGATATAGATAAATTACAAAATTAAACTTGTTGGGTACTCTAGCTCTCCTCGTTCCTGTTTGGATCTAGCCTCGTGTTTTTCCTCCTGTGCTCAGTTTTTATTCTCCTTGTCTGCTCTAGTACCAGCCCTGGATTCTTACCTCAGCTTCCTGCTGTCTGAAGTGGATTTATTACCCAACGCCGCTCAACTCCTCTGGTCTCCCGCTCTCCACCTCTCACCTGTCCTGGATTACTCCACTGCCTGCTACTCCTCTCTACCAGACCATCTCCAGCTCAGACCTGACTTGCCTCCCTTTCCAGCTCAGAATCCCACTTCACACAGTAAGACTCCGCCACCATTACTCCAGTGTTTTCTTGGTTCTCAGTATTCATTTTGCTATCTTCTGTTTTAGAATCGGAACACCCCACCCCTCCCGGCCCAGTTTGGATCAGCGTTTTTCTTTATTAATTTTCTTTATAATAAAACCTTTTATATTTTTACTCGCCTCTCTCCGCGTGTGATTCTTTCATGTGGGTTAAAAGACTGTAGCCCATCATGACAGGATGAGAGAAGCCTATTTCCATGAACATTGTCACCACTGTTTGGCCCTTATTCTGCTAATTTTATGAGCAGAAGCACAAACACGAAAGTTTAGCACACAAAGGGGGGTGCAAAGGCCATCTCTGGGAAAGCCTAACAAAATAAAAGCACGCTTGAAAAGCAGAAAGTCAGCAAATTTTTTAAATCATAACTGTTTTTGCATTCCTTTAAGACACATGTAAAAATATGAACCCTTAAAGAGCAAGTCACTCCAAATCAACTTTTTTTTTTTTTTGCTCATGAACTAAATGAGTGTCTGATCGTGCTGTAGACATGTGCAGTTAATAATTCGACACTTTAGTGCACGGCCACGGCTATGTAAGGGAAACCCTGATTTTAATATTCTGCCTAACCCCCAAATTCCACTACCTCCGCTCCGCTCCGACACGAACGCCGGAGCAAAATCGGTCCCGTTCTAGTCAATCAGAGCAATTCCACTACTGTGGCCGTGCTCCGGCAGTGCGGCGCCGTGCGCCGCCCTCTGTTCCGGCGTCCGGCAAAAATAGAATCGATCCTATTTTTGCCGGACGCCGGAGCACCTCCGCAGTCAATGGACAGAAATCACAAACGCCCAACAGGAAAGGGAGCAAGCACAACTTCCGTTTTTCACAATACATCGATAAACAAAAGGCGTTTTTTGTTTCATATGCACAGGTTTAACAACTTTTAACAACTATCAGTGGCGGCTGAAGTTTAAATGCACAAAAGTAAGCCATAAATACAGTTTCTACTATCAAAGTAGTCACACTTTGTTGATCCAAACACTGCTGATCTGTCAACACAAATGATGGGCAGATTAAACAGTTCATGCCGATGCTTCTCCCACACAACGGGTGTTTGGATCTAACTTCCGCGTTTATTGCTCGGACTGTATCGCAAGATCTCGAAAATCCCGCGCATGCTTGTTTGCCCACCTCAGGTCTCCGCACCGGAGCGGAGCCGTTGTAGAGCGGGTACCAGTAAAAATTGAGTTCGGAAGCGAGCGGCTGCGGAAGGCAGGGGCGGACCGGAGCGGAGGTAGTGGAATTTGGGGGTAACTGTCAGTGTTGCACCATCGTCAGGTAAAAACTCTGCACTGCATTTGAATTTAAATCTGCCATCGTACACTATGATGTTAGATGGTACATTATGCTGTCACAATGTTGTGTGTGTGTATTAGCAGCTCTGTCCTCTCTGTCTGCTAGGCTACAGCCTTTGTTGCATTTTTCAAACAGGAAGTGGGAGTGGAGTAAGAATTGGGTAGGGGGTGACTTGCTCTTTAACTGATTTACCATTTCTATCCGATGGTTGAATCACCTGTGCAGCAGCTCATCTGGATCTGCAGAAGCGTGTTAATCACCTGCTGATTGAAATCAGGTGTGTTGAAGCAGGGTGAAAACCAAAACGTGCTGGATACCGGCCTTCAAGGCCTGGAATTGAATAGCCCTGGTTTAGCTCTTTGAATGAAGGTAAATTCAGAACTATTTAAATGTGTTTAAATGGTTTTTTTAAAGATTCAAGGAAACTGAACTCAAGTCAACATCTGAGTCAAATTGTCCACTTTGTTGTTCTGATAACCTTCTGAACCTGGTTCTCCAAACACAAAGTTCAGCGTAATCTGACTAACTGATATCCAAGCAGAAGGAGGAAAATGAGCCCATCACTTTAACTGCTGCATTACAGCTGACCCTGCTGAGCTTTATTTCTACCTGACGGGATTTAATTTGGCTCATAGTTAACCCGATCAAAGTTAACCAGATCCGCCCAGTAGCTAAACAAACAAAGCTGCACCACTCAGGCACTTACAAGGAAGGCATTATAGGAGCATGATGGCTATCAAGCAGGCAGCCTGAAAACAGCTCATCTGAACTGAAATCAACATAACACTTCATTCAGTTCTGCATCTGGCTGCAGAAAAAGATCTGCCAAAGCTCTAAGTATTGAACTATTCCTATTTTACAAGATGACAACAATGGTATAATTGATTAGAACAATTAATGTGATACTCTACAAGCCTTCAAAGAATATTTTAATACAGATGTGTCCACTCACCAACTTGGAATATATTCACACAAGTATGGAGAAAAAATTCCAGCAGGAGTTCCCCTTTCCTCCTGAAAGCCTCAGTTTGGTGTAAAAGTCTCCGCTTTCCACTCAGACGCACTCCACCCTCACAGGACTGTACGACCCTTTCCGTTGTGAATGAATGGGCTCAGTCATGACAGGGAGAGTGCACGTCTATTTGTGTGCGTGCACGAGCACACACACTAGGCTATCTGCAGGTTTAAGGGAGACAAATTTAAGACTTTTAAGACCTTTTTAACGCCAATTTGACCAAATTTAAGCTATTTTTAAAAATTAAATTTAAGCTATAATTTCCAGCTATTGCCTGGAACCGGTGCTAACCACGTAGTGAACGTGGGATTAGCCATCCTGTTACCATTAAACTTGCACTTCCCCATGGCGCAAGCTCCCACTAGCTTAACTAGCTAATTTAAAAAAAATCTAAGACTTTTTAAGACTTTTTAAGGACCTGCGGATAACCTGACACACACACACATCAAAGCTCAAACACTAAAAGTCACAGTTTAAATTCCAAACAATCACATAAAACAAACTAAAAATGGTTTTGTCACAAATTCTGTTTACAAGCATGCTCGTATTTTATTATGGATTTCAAATGAACCACCAAAACTCCAGCACCAAAGGCTAAACTGGCTTGTGGAAAGTAAAATGACAGATCAAGAGCAAAACACAATGGCTCACATATTAAAAGAACATTATTTTCAATACCAATTCCATTTTTATGCATGCTGTTTGCTTCCATAGCAGCTCTTCTCAGCTCATAGCTGCGCTGATCCGTCCATTTTTTTCTACTGATTCAGTAGTACATAGTTTAATTATTTGACACATTTGATTCTCATCCTCAATATGCTAGATGTTAAGTCATGATTATGTTATTAGTGCGATCCAACCCTAACTCATTTTTATTCATACTTTATGAACACTGCCAACCACCTATGAACATAAAATTGTGTTTAAAATCTCTAATCAACCTCTGATAAGAACTTTGTTCCATCAAATTAAAAGCAGCATGGATTAAATACATACTCTGAAATTATTCAAAAACGTACATTTTTCCTGAATCATAATAAAAGCCTTACTGTAAAATGTTCTCATCAAGTCACTTAAAAAAAACAGAAAATGACGTAAAAAACTCTCATTTCTAATATAATCTTTCAAAATAAAAGCCATAATATTAGTATGTTTCAGAAAATATAATTTGGAAAGCATATATTCCAAAAGCAGAAAAATAAAAGTATGTTTTGACTCATTATAAACATGTAATAATCCAATGTGGATAACTTCACTCCCTTAACCATCACATGACAAAAAATCCTGTATGAAGCATAAACTATATTTATCAGTCATATTTGATTCATATTTATCATTCATTTCTCTTACACGGTTCTATTTATTAGAACTAATATTTCACTAATAGGGGACTAGCTAGCTGTATTTGGCAGGTTGAAAAACAACAAACAGGCACAGATTTTCCTTTTTTCCCCACTTACCTCCGTGTCCTGCTCCAGTGTCAATTATTGGCGAACCGCCAGCACAAAATGGGGTGAAAATAATAAAAAAAATAATAACGCACCCTATTTTCACGTTTTTGCCTAATATTTAGGCAGCTGATGGCACCAGTAAGTCAGAAACAAGGACCTGAACGGTCAACATCAACGCCAAATCATAACAAAAGTCTTTTGTCGCTGACCGTAGCCAATCTTAAGTAATGCAAGAATATTCCAACATCCACAGTGACGCTGTCCCCAAAATCCTGCGTTCGCTCCCGTTTTTATCACAAAAAAATCCGAAATAACAGAAGCTTCCTGAGACCGTCGGGCTCACCACTTTCTGGCAACGTAACGTCGTTAACTGACGTTAAGAACAACCAATTAGAAGTAACGTTGTAAAGCCATGTTTTCCTCGAGCCAATTACTGTAGCGGGTTGATCAGAATGACAGGAGCATCAGCCAATAGGAAGCTCCGCTTCATTTCACAAGGGACGCAGGTTCATTGAGCTAGCAAGCACTGGCCGCTACAAAGAACTCCGTGCAGCTTCTGGCATCACTAGTGATTTTAAAAATGGTGAATTATAATATAGCGTCATTGTAGTAAATATTTAAAGGAAATGTTCAAGCATAATCACATTTTTAAACATTCAAACAGGGAATGACAAACAAGAAGGCAATAAAAAGGTCAAATCTGTGGTCAGCGTTCCACTGACTGCGTTATGAGGAATTTTACGGAATGTCACTACTACACAAACAAAGGGTAATCCTTCGAAGACAAACACAGTAAAACATCATAATGATACAAACTACACTAGACCCGAGAGCTACCCAGATAAAGCTTTCTAATAAAATAAATCAGATATTTTAAACTGACTTTCCTGACTGAATAAAAATCTAATTGTTCAAACTAAACAATGCGGACCATAATTTTGTGTTTTTGCAAAACAAAACCTAAATTACATTTGTCCTGAAATGAAATGCATCATATCTGGAATCATGCATATGAATCCCAAAGATTTTTAGGACAGGGATCAGAACTATAAAGTTAAAATAACAAAGCTTGATTAACTCTAATATTAGATTTATTTAGCATCAAAAAGCATCTCAAGGGGGAAAGTAGTTGCTCCATCATAAACCTCCTTAGTTGGAAAAGTTGAGAGTTTTTAGAGCCATGAAGTCAGCATGCAGAAGGTGGGTGTACCCTGTTAACACATCTGGGTGTGGTGCAGCAGACAAGGCTGTTTTTATATTTCTCACCTAAATGGGCTCCACTGAGCTTTAACTAAGTACCTATATTTAGATTAGGGCCGTAAACCCCCTGGCATGCAGCTGCTGCGCAAAGTTTCGTTTTAAATTGAATCAGACCCTTTTCTGACATCTAATCAAACTGGAATCATTTTGAAAATTGTCCTGCTGTGTTGCAATTTTTAAACCTAAATTATTAGTTCACTTATTTTGCAGTTTGATTTTCAACAGCTTTTATAAGTGGTCTTAAAATCAGAAACTTCCTAAAATCCTCACACTTCAGAGACATGTTTCCAGTCACGAGCAGCTCAGTAAAATTGGAGGAAAAGAAAATCTGTTAAAATGATCCTGCAAAAGCCGAGGCTCCCCTCAGGAAAGGAGGCAACGGAACACTTATTTGTTGCTCCCTCCATAAAATCTTAATGCATTTTTTTTACATTGCAAACAAGATTCAGTTATGCGTTTGCCATCTTTTTTATTCAGGTAATGTTCATGAAAAAATGGACAATAACTTCCAGTAAGCTATAAGCCTTTAAAATGAAAAAGAAAACATTTCTTTTAAATAGTTTATAAACCAAAACAGAATACAAACGAGATGTACAACATGTAATAGACAAAAATCCTAAAAAGCATGATGGTCCAGACTCTTTACAAACAGCCCTTCACGTGTGTTTGACTTAATTCTGTATGAGTTGGATTTGGGCAAATGTTTACCTTTAAATTTATGAAGAACAAATAAATTAAAGGCAGAAAAATTGCAGCTTTCATGTAAAACCCTAATCCTTTACTTTAATGAAAATAAGATGTTTAGTGTCCAGTGTTTGTTTCTTCCATACACATTCAGAGCAGTTCTCAGACCAGAATTTGATGGAAAACTTAAGCCAAACAGGTAAAAATGTCTGTATCTTCACTTCGTGGATCAAGACTCTGCTGGTGATGGCTGGCTGGGAGCTCCATTGCGTGTGCGAAGCTGAGACTGGGCGATGTCAGCCAGGGCGTTCTGGATCTTCTCCAGCAGCATATCACCGCGGTAAACCACCTCCTCTAGACGAGCTGCCGCGTCGTGGTTCTCCTCCTCCAGCTGCCGGAGACTGGCCGCCTGGTAGGATGTCACAGGGGTCCAGATGCATCAAATATGGCAGGTTTAAGTAGACACTGTGAGACTAATTTGCATTTTTTTTACTGGATAATGATCAACCTACTTAAGGGAAGAGATTTTGAAGAATACCAATGCAACTCTGTAATAAAACAAGCCTGCTGCAGAATGCTGCACGACTTTTAACTGGTACAAGGAAGAGAGCACAGCTCTGTCATTTACCTCAGAATGAGCTTTAATGATGTGTAAGACTTCTTAAAATGACATGATTTTATGTTTGATAAGTATGATTTATTCATTTGATCCTTTAACAATTTTATTGAATCTACTGTTGTCCTTTTGCCTTGACGTCCAATTCTTTGGTTTTCATCACTTTGGTCAGTTTTGCCCTTTTAAAAGTACTTTATAAATAAAGTTCACGCTGTTCAGCATAGGGAGAAAAAAAACAATCTTAAACTATAAGGAAAAAGATGTCTAAAAACTAAACAGACAAATCTCACTTAAATGGAAAAATATTTGTATAAAACTTAAACTTACTAATGCCCATGAAGTGCTTTGCCCCAACAATGCTCCTAAATACGCAGCATTTACAGGAATGTTATTAAATATTTCACATAACTGCTCAGAAACTGTTTTTCCAGTCTTTGACATCAGTAAGCTATTTCAGCAGATCCTAGAGCTCTCACGATGGAAAACTAAACTTCTTGTGGCGCCCCCTGCTGCCTGAAAAGCAAGCTCAGCGCTCTTCACACAATAACCAGAACTAAGTCTTCAGCTACTAGTAAACTACCATGTGAAGAAGTGTGATGATAATAAGCCTAGCAGCTGAAACATTTCCCACAAATGCCAACGCACACCATCCTGTCCTTGTCTGTTTCTGACACTGGACAAAACCCTCTGCTGTGAAGCACTGGTGTGCACAAGTCACCACAGGAAAAGGCCTGGAAGTGCCACTGCCTGCTGTGAAAACATCTGATGCAGAATTTTTCAGCTGCTATCTTCACTGTTAAATTATTTGGTCTTTTTCAAAACAATGTCCTAAGGCATGTCAAGCAGAATGTTTAACTTCAGAATGCTTCATCTCTCTTGAGTTACAAAACTTCAAAACAATTTTTGAAAGGGTCATTTGATCTCAATACTAAACAAAAAGTTATGTTAAAATACAAAATAAATAAATCTGAAACTCTAAAAATGACGGTTAGTGTTTTTAACGGCCATAACATTAAAAAGCTGTAACACTCTGGGTCAACAAAATAAAATAAATGTGTTTCTTATGAACATGAACAATAATACTGGGTCTCTTCTTTTTAAAATAGATCAAAAGTGAAGCCAATGGAGATCATTTCAGTAAAACTTCTTAAACTCAAAGAGTCGGTATCTCTTAGAGACCAATCCTTGTGATTTTAGTAGAAGTCTGAATGATTTCCTTCAGCATAAATGCAGGCAGATCTGAAGCTCCTACTGGAAGCAAGAGTGAAGTGAGTGCGAGCGTGCCGACCTGCAGGGCTGCTGTGGACTCTTCACTGGGCAGAGAGTCGATCAGTACATCTACATCTTTGGCTGTTCTGGCAATAAGAGCGGCAAATAGCCGTGCATATTCTAGAGGAGAGGGAAAACACACATGAGGGAATGCAATGAGCGTTAGTGCCATTGCTGCAACTAAACAAGTAGGTACAGTCGACATAATAGTTCCAAATGACAAGAAAAGTCTAAATATTCCCCCCAGAATAAAGGCTACATCCCAAGAATGAGTCAATATGTCGAGACAAACGTCGACAGTATTTAAAAAATTCAAGATTACAGTCATAATGTCGATGACAAAGTCAGCTTGTTTCTTCCAGGATGAAGAAAAAAAAGTTTAAAGGTTAAGAATCAACACTTAACTATTTCTAGAACATTGAGAAAAGACAAGAGACAAAAGTAGAAACCATCTTTAAATAGTGGGGAACAAATTCTAAACATCTATAATTACGTCTAAATACTGAGGAAAAATATTACAATTTAATTTGAGGAAAAATATCAAAATATAACTTCCAAAAAAGAAAACAAACCCTGTTGTGCCCCTGAATCAGACTGCATTTGTTCCAGTTTTATCATCATTGTAACCGACGGTTCCAGGAATGTTTTACCCAGTAAACTATTCAATAAAATAACTATTTGGTTAAAGGGACGTTATGGAAGTTTGACAGCCAAAACATGTATAGAAATAATTAATTTCTTCTTCATACATTCTCCTGCAATGCCCTGGTCCTGTAGAATGAGCCCTGGCATTTTTACTGTGATTGCCTGTTTTTCTGTAAAATCACAGAAAAAGAGAGCTGCTCGGGTCGAGCAGGCTGCTTCATCCGTGTTCACGCTCAGGCATAGCCCTCCAAACTGTTCTTTGAACGTTGTTTCAGCTGTCATCAAGGATATAAATGTTACAGACACAAGGAACGTCACTGGCGCTTTAGCTCGCCTTGTAAGACGACGGACTTTCGTGCAGAAGACTCGAGTTCGAATCTGGATGTACATTACATTAATGGTATATTTTTTTGCAGTAAGATGCCCAAATTTTTATTTGACACTTGCCGAACGGCATTGAATTCACAGATAAAAAAGATGTGGGTTCAACTTTCATTTTGGAACAATTTTTCAAGCAAGGGAAGGGAATGATCTGAGCATGCAGGAGGACTGACCCATCTTAAACCTTTGTCGGCTGTGCTGAAGAGAAAGGTACAGAACCAAATTATTTAATTAATTAGCTGCACCTTCTCCTGTCCTCTGTCCTCCGGGCCACACACACAAGGGACTGTCTCAGCTGTTATTTTCGTAAAGGAGTGTGCACGTACAGCATGCGCGCCTCGTGCACGAGCCTACTATTGAAGCTGCCGTTACGTTTTTGGCCTGAGGGGGCAATCGCTAGCATAAAAATTCAAAACTCCGTAAAGTCCCTTTAAATATCAGGTTTTAACTCCTTTTGTTAAAGCAGAACTCAGAGATCTTGAGTCTTTCACAATAAGGGTCTTCAGCAAACACGTCCCTTTAGTTAAAAGGGAACAACACTTCCTGTAACAAAATAAATCCCTTCTGGATTTAACAAGGCAAATAGGTTGTATAACCTCAAGATGGCAATTCCACAATTCATCAGGATCAAACCATGAAAGAGATCAGGGCATATCGATGCAGACCCAATGAGCACCAATGACAATCTTTGCGATGACAATTGTTAAAACTGTTTGATTGTTCAACATCTCTACAGGATCCTCATTAAAAAATGAATGCAACTCAGGATGGGAATAATTCTTTTGACATTGCAGAAGCAATCAAAGTGAAGGGCAGTCCAACTAAATATTACAAAGTGACACTTTTGGGGATGGGCAGGGTACAGTTGAGATTCAGTTCTTCAGGCTATTTTGGAAATGGTAACACTTTTTTTCCTAGACGTTTTGACAATTTTCTTTAAAATTTCAACATTTTTCTTGACGTTTTAACTTTATCCTGGAAATAGTATTTCACTTGTTGACTAGCATTTTTACTTTTATACAATTAAACCCCGAAACCCCTTTTTGAAACAATTTATTAAATTGTGGCTTCTTCGAATAGGAAAATAAATAACCCATGAGAGTTTGGTAGTGATTTTTCCACCAGGCATGTGAGCATGTTTGGCCTGCCAGACTCGTCCTCTGTTTAATTCTACACAGAGAACTAATGCTTCCCATAAGGATGCATGACTGGTCAGGCTAGCTGAATGTGGGAGAAAAGAGATTTAAATAAAGATTTTGCTTTGAAGTTACAAACCTTCGGCTGAATTTCCTGGCTGATCCTTGTTGATTGCTGTCTGAATATTACTGAAGGAAGCAGGTGGAGCACATTGTTGCAGAACACCGATGGCATCACAGAACTGATCAGCCAGCTGTTCACACGCAACAAAACAAACACGGGTTTTAAAACTCCGGACATTTGTTTAAAAGAATATAGAATAGATAAACAGCCAGTATAGTCTGATAGTTGTATTACCAGTTAAACCAAGCCATGTTCATTGGTTAAAACATAAAAGCTGTGATAAATTGTGTAAATTAACTAAACCTTAGACTCGCAAGTTAGCAATTAGCTACATTTAAAAGACTGAAACGATAATTCTGCAAATATTTCTTATCTAAATCCATTTGTTGTAATTGTGTAAGATAAAAAAAATAACTAGTGACGTAGAAAATAATTATATTTCGGGATATTTCAATAGTTTTGCTTACAGAATTGACAGCGTCTTGAAGTTGCGTTAGCCTATCCGCCATGTTGCCGTAAATAAAATAAAAAACTCCCCAACGTGAACCTCGCGAGAGTTTAACGTCTCGCGGAAATAAACAAGAGGCTTCGAGTTAGCTGAAGCGATGGCTGTGACCGTCCCACGGCTGGTTTTTTGTAATGTGGATAGGTTTTAAATCGACTTTTTCATGACTAGCGATATTTACTCTCGTGCTTTAAGGAAATGGGAACGCGCCAAAGCATCTAATCCGGAGTAAACGTCAGCTTTTAGCCAGTGTTAGCCACCAAACAACAACAGGAAGTAAAGAAGCTAAGTCAACCCAAGTGGTTTTGTACTTTGAACTCTTCAGGTATGACCACACATTTGTCAGTTTTGCTGCCTTTTGTGGACCTTACAAGTTTAGTTATAGCAGCCGGTTGGTGTTATGAACTCCTCGGTAGTTTATATTTGATTAATGAAGTGTTGTGGTGATAAATTGTGTCAGTAAATGCAAAATATGTTAAGTAATAAAACTCTTATTAGAGTAAAATGACCTATCAATGCATTATTGGCTGTAAACTAGCGTGCTATCACCTACGAGGAGGCTTAAGGTTCAAGCTAGGTTCTTTAGCTTTAGAAACGTTTATTCATGGCTCATTTCGATCGTTCTGGTGAATTATTATTATTTTACAGAGTGTGGTGAAGTGAAAGTTCATGTATTTTCGTGTGGCTGTCTGTAAAAAGATTCTGAACAACTAATATAGAAGTAGACAGATCTTTGAATGAGCTGAGTTTGAAGAAATAAAGATTAGTACTTACTGGACTGATTTGTTTGCATGTATTCGTAGTGTATTGCATTAATTATATTTATTTTCAATAAATTGATACCAACAAGTCAGAGCTGTTGAATAATCAAAAATAAGTTGTTTTTATGCTTCTGTATTTCCTTAGGTATGAATTGTAGTTTAGAGAAGGTCTTGGCAGATGCCAAATCATTAGTGGAAAGGCTTCGTAACCACGACAATGCCGCTGAGATGCTAATTGAACAGACAACATCTCTCAACAAGAGAGTGGAGGCTATAAAAACGGTATGTGATTTGTTTTTCCTATTTTATGTGCTGTTGGGTACTAGCTTAGTGCCACCAGGGGTCACATTTTACTAATTCTATAACTGAACACTCTATAATGCAAAAGAAGAAAGTAAAGTGCATTCCAAAGAATGATGGAATATTTTAACCGTAGCGTTGACTGCTGTTTAGTTTACAGGACATAACTACTGAGGGTGAAGCTTTTTATTGATTCGTTATTTATTTATTTTTTCACATTTGACAGTACCAGGAAGAGATTGATGCACTGAACCAGGTTGCGCGACATCGGCCTCGTTCCAGTCTGGTTCTGGGAATCCAACAAGAGAACCGTCAGATCAGAGAACTCCAGCAGGAAAACAAAGGTAGTCTTTCAGTGTTAATACTCATGGTGATTGCTTCCTGTTCGGTACAATACATTCCTTTACTTTTGTCAAATCACACTGCTTACAAACACTGAAATGTTTTGGGGCAGAAAAAATGTTTTTTACAAATATCCAGAGACATCATTAAGGTAAAATTTATTTACATAGACATATACAGATCGACTAGAGTTATTTAAAATCCTTACAAAATATTTTTCACTGCATTTCCCTATTCATTTGTTCAGTAATTAGTAGTCACTTACTTAGCTTGCTGCCATGGTCCAATTAAGAGTGAATAATTAGCCTACTTACCTTTTTATACCATTACTAAAATGTCTTCCTCGTACCACTAGAGGGAGCTCTCATACCATGATTTGAGAATGACTTTGTCATAGTTAGCCAACCAAACATGCGTTCTCTCTTTCTGCAGAGCTCCGAACATCTTTGGAGGAACACCAGTCTGCGATAGAGCTCATCATGACTAAATACAGGGAGCAGGTGTTCAGGCTCCTAATGGCGAGCAAGAGGGATGACCCCGCCATCGTCACTCAGCTGAAGGAGCAGCACACCACGGTCAGCAACTCGGGTTTCCTTTGTTCTTCTAATTCATATTTTAATAACTGTAATGTAAAATCTTCTAATCATTTTTTGTTGATCTGTGCAGGAAATGCAAGCGCACATAGACAAAATCAACGAGATGGCATCTGTGATGAGGAAAGCTATAAAGGTGGATGAGGACCGAATATGTGAAGACGAGGAGAGGATTAAACAGTTAGAGGTAAAGACGAATAAGGAGTTGCTGCATCATCCCTGTAAATGTTCTGAATTCTGATGCAGGAAAACATGTTTGACATGAATGAAACAAGGGAGAGTTTAGCTATTTAAATGATTCATGAGTCATCTTACACAGGTAAGCAATATCATTTAAGACTAACTCATTTGGATCAAAGCATCTGCCATAGTGTGTTAAACTATGAATCAGTACATTTGGGACCGGTTTTCCCACTGGTTCATTCAGTTTGTTATAACTGAGAGTAACGTTCTGACAAACAGGTCATGTAGTTAAGTGATCTAAACAATAAGAAGCTACAGAGAAAATAAAATCATGAAAGAAATCAGTTTAAACACAATGTTAATGGAAATAAGAAAGTAGAGAACAGGCATTATGTTTGTGGTTTAAACATGAGAGTTTTATTATCTGTACATTTTACAGAAGGCTGTAGGTTCAAATCCCGGTAGATCAGATTAACCTATCTGTGACCACCAATAGAGCTGGACGATATACATAAAAAGCATATTGATTAATATCAATAATTATTAATAACTAGAAAATGTAGAAAATATATTAGAAGTGCTGAGCTGGCCATTTTATGGTCATTACGTACAAGTTGGTTATTACCAGACTTGATTTTCATTGTTTTTATCAGACTTTTAATAATCTAAATATTTCCATGCTGGTGAACTACTATAACCGTCTTTCAGGACCGTTTCCTCCACCTCTGCTTGCTGCAAAATCTTGTTTAAGTCGCATGCTCTTTGTTTAGGTTTGAGAGGGGAGGGCTTGGTGAGTGAGCATGCCTGAGTCTGTGTTTTTGATTGGTTGGGACAGTAATGTCTTTAGTATTTAAGCTACCTGATAGGCTATAGTGAAAAAAGAAAGGAAACCTAATTGAAGTTGTATTGACCCATTTCTTTCTATCACACCACACGTCTTATCATTATTGAATTACTGTCCAGCCCTAGCCACCAGACGTGGTTGGACGTCTCTTAAATCTGGAGGCTCTATTTGAA